TGAGGAAGGGCTGCTGGACATGTAGGTGACCAGTTCCACTCAGACAAAGACCAGTCCGCTCAAGATAGATGCAGTCGCCTCTGGAACTCGGTAAATGTCTGGGATGGTTGCTACTATCTGTTTATATACAGGAGTGAGCTTCGTTGTCCGTCACTCTTTGGATTTTTTATGAGGCAGTATTACAAGTGGTGGCTGACGGTCGGCGACAACAGATTTATGTCTCAACCAAGCTGCGCATCATAAACATTATTAAAGCTGATGACGTGAAACGATAGTGATGATGGTCAGCAAACCTCAGAAGGTCCTAGTTTGCGGAAGAGCCTCTCCTGCTGTATGAAGCCAGATTTCGCCAATGATTCGATATCTAACCACAGCTAGCTTACAACTAGTCAGATTTTATCATAATTTTAAGTACTTACATCTGAATAGCTGGAGACTTTAACCTCTGCGAAGCTTTGTGCTGATTAGGTTCATATAAGTGAATAATCAATACATAAGCTACTATCACTTACGACAGTTGCCAGATAGAACGTTGTCCACCCTTCGTCATACCAAAGAAACGTTTGATTGCATTCAAACCCCTTTCAAAATCCGCATATTGGTCCACCAACGAAGTAGCGGTTAAAAGCCATGAGTTAATCGCCAGGAATAACTTTACTAGTTACGCACGAGTGTGTCAATTATCCGTAAAATCTTTTTGGATAAAAGGCACACCTAAGAGATATGCGAATAAACATCCTGAGAAGTTGGTGTTTTAGAATTTCGTGCTTCTAATTAACTGCGTCCAAATAAGGACACTTTTGTAACCAAAACTCACTCACCAGTAACACCACATTGTCCACATTTTCTGAGACCATACGGCTAAAACCAACATCCGGTAATTCTCCAATGCACAGATCTCAACATTTAGTTCCGACACACTGAAAACCAGCGGTTCTTATAAGGACACCTACGTCCTATGGCCTAATGCGAGAATCCTGATTCACTTATTCTTGCGTCAGCCTGCAACTTTGATACAGAAGAAAATTTACACAACTTATATTGATAAGAATCTTGCTTCTAATACGCACCAAGTTGTGTGCACGCAGGTGATCAAAATATCTCCCAAAGCAGGGTATACCATTCAACCTCAGTTAGCACGATTCTCCGAGCGGCTACACAGTCCCGAAAAGTCTGAAAAGTGTGAAGTAAATTGTAATGTGCCTGGGTCTCCATTAGAATTCTCCGAGAGTTTCAACTGCTTTTCAGGTGAGACTCGGATTGGAGAGTCCCCAAACCGGGTTTAGAGGATGAGATGAGGCAACCAGCAGTTCGTGCTCGTTGGCCAAGCCATTTGCAGGAGGTGTTGGTGATTGCTGGGGTGTGCAAAGTGGGGCCGACAGTCGACTTGGATCACTGCCATAACCGTCAGAGCCATCGCGACTCATGCGTTCTCCTCCACAGTTTTTTCTGCGATTCTTGGTGTGATCGGAACCTGTCATATCTGCATCATCGCAGACATTAATGTACGGTGCGTCGATCAACTTCCCCGTTGTTTCACCTGAAAAAATAACGAAACAAGTAGTTGGAAAAATGTTAACTGTTGGTTTTTGTTGTCGGGATGTGAAAGTAATTAGGAACAACTTTCGATAACGAAGAAGAGGACGGAAAGACGAAACCGGTCGTGGGCTGTCGACGAATTATCAGCAATCTTATGAGTAGTGTATTACAAATATACATATATCGCGATATCTCGAACATCGTAGCGACTGAAACATGAGGTGGCCTAGTGAAGCACAATCAGTTGCCAGGACACATCAAAACCGAGAGATTCAGCTGGATTCCAGGTGAGTGTCTCGAAAAAACAAATTAGTTTGCAAATGAGTCTATATTCGCTAGAATTCCCTTCATTTATACTTCCGTTTCCTATTTCGTTCAACGTAGAGTGCAACTTTTCGTGTGACAATTCATGATGTAGCCGAAACCGCTTACCAAACCGACTTGAAATGGTGCTTCAAAACGTCGGGGTTGATTTTTCCTGCCATTGTATCATGTGTTTAATTCTTTTACCAGTTTAACTAATAAGAAACGTATATGCAACAACAACAACAGCCCCACCACCACCATTTGGCAGAAGACAATTGGAAATAAACAAATTTTAATATCGATTGATATAAGTGACATGAACTTCTTTATCTCACAACCCCCTCCCACTGCACGGGTGATACAAATTTTTCTTCCATCGGAAGTTTTGATTAACCATGCTAATGAAGATAACAGTTCTTGAAGATCTGTTGCGCCCGAATTTGAGTGTGAAGGCCATATGTTGTGTTTAGCACCGCTGAAGTATATCTGAATGAAATGTCCATGAAACTGGACAGTGAGTCTCATAAAACTAAGCAAGAGCCGTACCGCTTCATCTCTCAACTCACCGGAATACACTGTCTGCTTCTTTGTAATAGAACATGATATTCCTTGCCTCATAAAGTGTAAACCTATGAGATATCCGGTCGGGCTCGGTGAACGAATTTGTGACAGGAAACAACTCACAACTCGAGTTGATGTTGAATTTAAAGCATGCTTTACATCTACGTTTTCAAATTTCATCAGGGAGCTTGTGAAAAGGTCGCGAAACACATTATGTGAGCTTAAAACCAAGTGACCAAAAGTAGCCGCTGAAAGCCCTTCAGGTGTATTAGGGCCTAGTGTTGTTTCTATAGTTTTGTTGCGTTTATTACGCATTTCTGGTCAACCCCCCTCTCTGTTCGCTGAAATCATTTTCCTCTAAATCATGCATTTTCTCACCTTAGGATGCTTATCAGCACGACATATCGATTCTTTTCTCCATCAGCAAATTTTTAGTGACAAAAAAATTGAGAGTCCCAACTTTGTGTCTCAAAGTGTATTTTAAGGCCGTCCTTTGACCGCCAAGTTGTAGCCCTGAAGAACAAATTAGGCATAGCTTAATTGGAGAGGAGTTTCACAATATGTGACCGCAGGTTTCTACGCAGCTGGAGAAGAAATTAGCAAAATGTACAACAGAGACATAGAAGCACCCAGTCAGCGTCGGAATTCAAAACGAGGTAAAAAAAGACTTTGACTGTTTTATGACTGTTGTTTATGATTAACGGCGGGAAAAATTCCTATTCAGGTTCATCGTCTCCAATACCTTCGTTGCGTTCAGCAATCCTTGCCTTTCAGTGACTGGAAGGAGAATTCGTGAAGCATGGATGTTTGACAATAGTCGGACTTGCAGAAGTGAATTTTGGTGAATCATTTAATTCTTTCGATGGTCGAAGAGTTCCATGAGCTAGGTAATTTTTATCACGTAACCTGCCAAGCTTGGCAGCGAACATTTAAGCCGCAAATCCGTTGTAATTAGTGTTTCTTTACCGAAAGGTTTTACGATACACCCTACAGTGATAGTATGGCGCAGATTTTTAATGGCTTTCCAAAACTACGTATAAAACAGATGAAAACTTGTTGAGAGTTAAGTAGTGTTATCTCTCTTTTGAGATTAAGAATGCAGGTGCTGCCCAAAGGATTCCAGTAACAATATCACCTGAGTTGCGCGTTTACTTGCAAACCGTTCCGGCGAAACTCAGGCTCGTTTGTGACGATATATGATGTGTCAATGTATTATACTTAGCCTAACTTTACTTATATCTTTCAAAGCCAACTGCATTTTTGAAGCCAAAGTTGTTTATCGAGTGTGCACTGAGATTTCCAGTCAAATTTATTTCCTATATATAAGTACACACAGATTCGACACAGAAGATCACTCAACGGTGGATACTAACGGAATCAAAAAGGGATCAATCTGGATAATTCCTAGAAATTATTTCTAGAAATGATTTATGGTAAATGTTTGCATAATGTTTAAATTTTTATTAGGAAACACATCTTTTATAAGTTAAACCATCTATACTATTTCTCAGAAAGTAGCAAACAGAGTAGCTATTATAAATAGGTTAGAATTTCCACCTGCCACAAAAGCATTTCTTTTTAATAGTGTAGTCTCTGTGATGGCCGAAGTGCATGCATCCTAGGAAATATTCCCCATCGTGGGGTCATTTAAATAGGCCTTCAGTCGAAAAAGTATTTTTTGAGTAACTTAAAACACGACGAAGATCAAGCTTGTTTTTGTTCTTTAGAATATGTCTACATAGTACAAAATATGAAGTGGACTTCAGGTCTGATTTCAGGACCAATTCACCTAGTATACTATCACGGACTAGATGAGGAGATATTTGTGCTGCTCATTATTACGTAAAAGAAACACCCAGTTGTGATTTCTTTTGAGAGGCCAGGAGGCCCGTCAAATTGAAGACCACTCAACCCTTCTCCAAACAGACGCCACCAAGGTTCAACATGTCCATCAAACTAGTTCACCTCAAGAAGTGGAGTTTTTCACACATTGGAGCTCATAATTTCTACCCTGTGTGGATTTGAGAAAATCATGCAATAAAAGGGAGACCGAATATCCAAACTGACAGTCTGAGAATAAAACCTGAGGTTTGATGGTTTTTATACAGGGAGTTTAGGCCAGTCCTGTAGCATTATTCAAAGTGTACATTCAGTTGTAAATAAAAACGCTTCCATCCCATTCCACTTTTGATCAACTATGAAGCTGAAGCGATTTATTTATCGTGGCGAATGTTTCTATTACCGAAGTGGAGGGAAGCTCGTTTCACATGCCAAGTGAATTGTAACTGGATTGAGAAATTCTTGTTAGTTTGTTCGGGGTGACCGTCTTTCTCCGGTAGTACGCTATTATGCTTCATATTTTGTAATGCCAGATACATGTGGCATGGGCAGTCAGCTTCACCTGTCACTTACTGACGGTTATTATGGTCAGCGATATCTCAGCTGCCCGATCCTTTTCACTGAAGCCTATATAGGTTTGTTACAGAGAAAACAAATCTTAAGCCCACTGGTACCTAATGCCACTGTAGTTCGTGCCCTAGTACAATTCATTAAAGATGCAACAAAGAATGAGTAAAACGAAAAACATTACTTACAGGCCGTTCCAAAATTGAAAGAGTTAGGACGACCAGGAAGCCATAGAAAGCAGATTTATCCATAATTCCTTGCCAAAGTTCTCAGCACGTGTGTGCCGGGGTGTAGGTTACGGAATAAATAGGTGTCAAAAGTGCGTGAACAAGTGTAGCTGATACTTCCGTTAACGATTTCATTCAATGCGTCCTCAGATTGTGGTTAAGTAAACGATGACACTTGAGTGACAGTGCGGAAAGTATCTGACATGTTTTGTTTTAATGCGCTTATTAACAATAATTAGATCTTCAAGGTCACACATTAATTGAAATTGTTGTCTAATGTCGCCTAATTGATCTCGACTTTTCCCTCACCGTGCGTAAAACAAGATGTCCATATTTTATTTGACAGGGTTTCAGTGATGAAATTGTGAGTTACACGTTTTTTCCGCCAATATAAGAAGTAGATGTTGTTTTCGCTTGGCCATGGACAGTAGCTTTATTATTGGACGCTTTAGCCTTTTTGTATTTTTACAGCAGTGAAACAGTGAACCATCCACAACTTCAGTCTATTTTGCTCAACTTTTGTAGGCTCCAAAAACCGACATGGTAAGCCAGTTTTATATGTGCGTCCCCTGCGATTTTTTACATTTCCACCCGGGTCTCTGTACTCCAATAATATATTGTTTTGCTGCGTCTTAATTGTCCCAAGATCGGATAGAAAAACTATCACCTCAGCGTTACATTGGCCGGACACGCTCCGCCTTTTTCAAACCCACCCACAGTGTGAATTTTGACAGCTGTTCAACAGCTGCACATAGGGCACAGTTGGAGACAACGCCAAAGTTAGACCCACTATCAGACTGAAAGTCTTGAAAAATCATTACATTCGTTGAGCCACTTCTGCTCTTGTGCGGCTGTGTTCTGCAATCGAATACGGAATATTTTTCTGTCACTCAACAACCGCGTATCCGGATAGGTGCCTTGATAGCTATTTCAACCGCCGTAAAAAGTGCTAATTGTTATGCAAGTTATAGGACATGCCTTTCCTGATTTCCCTGATATAGATTTTGAAGAGAAAGTTTTTGAACAAATAAACTTATGAACTCACGCCCTTAAAATAAGGAGAAGTTTCTAAGTAACTCCTCAGTCTGTATCGAGTGCCGATCAAGTACCCAAGTTGATAAAGAAGGTTGTAGCCGCTCTCGAGATGATCACTAGCCAAATACGACTAATTCCGCCCATGTATGAGTGCAGCATCCGCCCCAAAAAGACGTCCAGACCGATCCGAAGAAGGCAGTATCTTCCTCTGCCGTTAGACCAACTAACCAAGGCAGCTCGTGAACATCCACGCCTGTCCTTACCGCCGGCACTGCGAAACACATACTCAGACCCATTGACATAACCTGCCGCGAAAGTTTCTGTATTTCTCATATGTTATAGTCGGCAGATAGGTCTTCTCCAACAAGAATCGTACACATTTCACACTCTACAGAAGCCAAATATTGTCTGTTCATTGCTGTAAATGCATTTGTACATGAGAATTTATTGAAACAGTCCATATCCCGGTTTCTGTCGGCTAATCGGTTGTTAACCCATAGCACCGCCCAACTCACTGTAGCCCGCTCTACTGCCTAACGTTAGTGGTCATTACTGTACCACACACATTATATTTGGAGTGAACTTTTAAAGGAGTGAATCGGCCTTTCAACAGGTCCTTCAAGGCCGTTTTCCAGTAAGCCCTGTCATCAGTCCACTTCAGTTGGTGCCGGAAAAGCGTTTTGCCATGAAGTATCCGGCATACGTTTGACGGCTGAAAACATCATGATGATATGTTTAGAGAGAGAGAGAGTTGGAGAAAGGGATCTGATGGGTTGAGTTGGTTCAGCGCAGATGGATCTAAAGGCTGGCATTTTAATACGCTGCCTGATCCACAAAAGCCATTATCTACATATAGCGGATGGATTTTTTGCTTTACTTTTGAGAGAGTTGGATATGCCTACGAAACATTTTTATTGTATGCAAGCTGATATTTAAGGTGCTTTTTGTGTCTGTCTTTCTGAACAAAGAAGTTTTGTCCTTCAGGCCTCTTTTACCAGTTATGTTTGGCTCATGAGGAATTGATCAACACTGTTTAAAAGTCAAATTTATTTCAGCCATCCACTTCTTATTTCTGCTTCAGACGCAATTATTTGGCTGTGTGAGAGTATAAATAATATTAACCTCCGTTGCAACATATGTTGAGGCTCCAAAGTGTCTCATGGATCAATTTCATACGTTATCTGTCAGTAGGCTTTATGAGAAGTTCAAGGTGTTACCACACACTAAGCATTGTGTGGCTCGTGGATCAACTGCAGTACTGAATACCATCAATGCATCCATAAGTCACGCACAGGAAATAAATTTAAACGTAACACTGTGTCTAACAAGCGGCCAAAAAGCTGAAGATCCAAACAATGGCTCCTTAATGACTAAATGAAGTGCAAAGGGAGTTGAATAGCCGGGTTACAGAATCAAACAAATGAGTTTGCTCCGGTGAACGCACGAGTTAAGTAGATCGCAACACGTTGTTATCCCCATAACCTGCATGCAAATAGTGAATACTCGAGAGGAAAGTTGAAAACATCTGTTAGTACTAGAAGAGACGTAATATCATTTGTGATGGGCCAACATTTCTAAAACTCTGGAGGTACTTGCCATCTAGTGGCCATGTGAGACTGTTAGTATCAGATACTTCCCACTGTGCCGTTTTACTTTAAGATGCATCATAATGCATCATTTAGACGCAGACTCTGCAATCATTGAATTTTAACTTGGTTTAGTCGGGTAGATAAATAGATGACTAATGCATGAGCTTGAATGTGGTCAATTCTGGTCACAGTCTTTAATCAGCAGCATTGCTTCACAAATTCAACAGCCATCTAAGGTTGAGTATCAGGGCCATTCTGACATGGAGATTGATAACTCATGGCCAGATTATTGCCTAACGTCAAAATTTTGGTGATCGTGTACTGGATGTCTTAACGCAGCCGCAGTTACCTCAGCTGTTGCCAGTGCAACACTGGGAGATAGATATGAAAAATAACCCCCACAATGATGTGAAGAGCTAAACAGCCACTTGTTTGGTTGGTAATAAATTTCCTATTGAGGTCATCTTACTTCCAACAGGAGGGTAGTGTAATATCACCTCTGTACAGTTTTACTTCAATAACTCGTGAGAAAGACCCGAATATAGATCGGA